AGCTGAATGGGTGATTTGGGGCCAATCACCAGGAGACGGTGAGTTCTTGTCCTGCCTTAGGAATGATAGACAGCTGGGTGACTTTGGGCCAATCACCAGGAGACGGTGAGTTCTAGTCCCGCCCTAGGTATGAAAGACAGTTGGGTAACTTTGGGCCAATCATCAGGAGACGGTGAGTTCTAGTCCTGCCTTAGCCATGACAGCTAGTTGAATGATTTTTATCCAATTACCAGGAGACGGTGAATTCTAGTCCTGCCTTAGGCATGAAAGCCGGTTGGGTGATTTTGGGCCAGTCATTTTTTTTCAGCCCAGGCCAACTCACAGGGTTGTTCTTGTGGGGAAAATGGGAGGAATTTGGTAGAAGGGAAGGACTATCTTTAATTTAATTGATGCAAAATTAATGTTTATCCCTTTTTTTCTGGGTATTTAGCCTCCCTCCCTCCCTCCTGTCTTAGCGTGTCTCTTACTCTGTGCACCTGAGCCTAGGGAGACTCTCGCCTTTTCACGGAGCTGCTTTGAGGAACTCTTTAAGAGCCTGGAAGTTGGTTAAGAATCCTGCCACTCAATGAAGCAATACAACAGCCATTGATAAACAGTGGGCAGAATGGAAAAAAATCCTGGTGTGGTTGGCTTTAAAGGTCTGGCCTTATAGTAGCCGAGTATCTTGGGAGTTGGAGTCCAACCTTGGGTTGGGAAAGGCTAACCCAGCAGCCCTTTTATATAAGAGAAGCATAAACTCATCCGAGCTTCCCTCCCTCCACACAGGAGGAAGAGCTGAAGAAGGCCAAGGAGGAAGAGGAGAGGCAGGAGTACGAGGAATACCTGAAGCTGAAGGAAGGCTTTGTGGTGGAAGAAGAAGGGATGGATGAAGCCATGACGGAGGAGCAGGTACGTTGGGTCGGCTGGTTTGGAGAGGGCAGGTCTGAGGCGGAAGAGTAGAAGATAAGAATGGCGTGATGGGATTAGTTGTTTTTAAGAGAAGGAGGAGCTCGGCTGTATGAGAGGGAGGGAGGGAGGAAGGAAGGAAGGAAGGAAGGAGGGAAGGAAGGAAGGAAGGAAGGAAGGAAGGAAGGAAGGAAGGAAAGGAGAAGATGAAAGAAGGGAGGGAGGAGAGAGAATGGGAGAGGATGGAAGGAAGGAGGGAAAAGAAGGGAACGTCAGGAAGGAGAAGAGAAAGGGAAGGAGTGATGGCTGAAGAAGGAGGGAGAGAGGGAGGAGAGAAAGGGAGAGGATGGAAGGAAGGGAAGGAAGGAGGGAAGGGAAGAGTGGGTCAGAGGAAGAAAGAAGACAAAAGAAGGAAAAGGGAGGGAAGGAGGAAGTATGGGGAGAGAAGGAGAGAAAGGGAGGGGATGGAAGAAAGGGAAGGAAAGAGGGAGAAATACAGGAAAAAGGAAGGAAGTGGAAGGAAGGAAGAGTGGGTAGAGAAGGAGGGAGGGAAGGAGAGAAAGGGAGAGAAGAGAAGGGGATGTTGGGAAGGGAAGAAGGGGAGAGAGAGAGAGGGAAGAAAGAACAAAGAAGAGAGGGATGGTTGGAGAAGAATCATTGAATAAAAAGCTGTCTTTACATTTACGATTTTAACTAAAATCTGCCCTTTAAGCCTGACCCTCAGACGAACTAGAATAGGAGGTAAAAGGACAAAATAACAGACAGAGCTGCAGGAAATTGTCTTGGTGCAAATGGTCTCAGTGTACGTGAAGAAAAAATAAAGTACATTCATTTAGAACCATAAGATACAATACTTAGTGATAGTCATAGTTACTAATAAGCAATCAAATCATACTAGGAAATAGTAAATATAAATCGTAAGGATACAAGCAACAAAGTCACAGTCCTACAGTCACAAGTGGGAGGGGATGGGTGATAAGGAGTGATGAGAAGATTAACAGTAATAGTAGTGCAGACTTTGTAAATAGTTGGATAATGTTGTGTAGCAGAGCGATGGCATTTGGGGGAAAACTCCCCTTGTGTCCAGTTGTTCTGGTGTGCAGGGCTCTACAGCGTCGTTTTGAGGGAAGGAGTTGAAACAGTTTATGTCCGGGATGTGAGGGGGCTGTAAATATTTTCACAGCCCTCTTTTTGACTCCTGCATTATATACAGGTCCTCCATGGGAGGCAGGTTGGTAGTAATTGCTCTTTCTGCAGTCCTAATTCCTCTCTGGAGTCTGTGTCTGTCTTCTTGGGTTGCAGAACCAAACCGGACAGTTCTAGAGGTGCAGATGACAGACTCAGTCATTCCTCTGTAGAACCGGATCAGCAGCTCCTTGGGCAGTCTGAGCTTTTTCCCCCCGCAAGTCCATAGATCCGTCGGCTGAGCCTTTCTTCATGGGCTCATTTATCATTTATTTGCAAAATTAGCCATCAAACAAGAGATTAGTTGCAGCCGGGAAGGACAGCTTCCAAATCTTCAAAAGGCCAGAAGACGTAATGGTGTCCTATCAAAAGCTCTGCCGTAACAGGCCTGTGCAGCAAATTTAATTTCCCTGCGTGGAATGTTTTTGATTTCTAGTAATTAGCTATTATTTATTGGCATTCTGAATATGTATTTAGATTCCTGCCCAGGCGTAAAAATGTATTATTTACGCAGGAACCAACAGGCCACCACAATCAGCATTGGGGTTTGTTTTTTTTCTTCAGTCCTGAACAAGAAACTGCTTAAAATGCATCTACAAGCAGTCCTCGATTTAACGACCGCAATCAGAGCCCCAGATATTCTGTTGTTAAGTGAGCGTTGTCCCATTTTGCAGCCTTTCTCGCCCCGGTTGGTAAGCGAATCGCTGCAGGGCATAAGTGAGTAAGCCGGGTCGTTAAGCCAGAGGGGGAAATCACACGACCTTGGGATGCAGCAACTGTCATAAGTATGAACCCGTGGCCAAGACACTGGATTTTTATTCACGTGATCGTGGGGCTCTTAACCAAGGTCGTGTGGAAAAAGTATGAAAAAGTCACTTTTTTCCAGTGCCGTTGTAACTTTGAACGGTCACTAAATGAAACTGTTGTAAGTCAAGGACTACCTTGTACTTCCTTCTCTGGTGAATTAATTATTGTTCTTCCTCTTGTTGTGTCCAGTCCCGTAGTTTCGTCACAGAGCTGCTCAATTACATTAAGGTAAGTTCCTCTTCCGTACTTGACGTCTTTCCAAGTCTCTACCCAGTTCTTTACTACTTCCTGGCCTTTGCTATACTTCAAGCAGTGGCTCACTTAGGAGCAAAATACTATCACCTGCTCTTTGGTGCCAACCAGGTCTCTCTCTGGGGTCTTTAGTGATCTCTGAGCTGGGTGGCTTTCTTGCAGACGTTTCATCGCCCTACTAGATAATGTCATCCGGGCAATATCATTGGTACAGATGGCGTTCACCTAGATTGTCTCTCTCTCTTTTTTTAAAAAAATTATTTATTTTCAAAATACACATAAAATTTACATTTTAACAGTTCTGTGTCAAGTGTTACTTATATACTTAAATACAATATTTACAATTCTTCCTCATATCAAACCTTATTTCTCTTATCTAACTATATATATATATATATATATATATATATATATACATATACATATACATACATACACGTGTACGTATACATATACATATACATATATACATACATACATACATACATACATAAAACATTTCCCAAACCTCATAAAACTCAGACTCCTCTTTACCTTTTAGTTTTCTCATCAGTCTGTCCATCTTGGCACAATCAAGTATTTTATTTATTATCATATTTTTCTGAAGGTACCTCATCTATATTCCAGCTTTGGGTATAAGCAATTCTTGCTGCTGTCGATATGTGTTGTACGATGTATTAGATAGGTTTCTTTGGGTTTCCTTTAATCATCCACAGCAAAAAAAAAAAAGCTTCTGGCTTAAATTCAGTGTCGTACCCTGTAATTTATCTTACCCATTTTTTTTCAATTTTTCCCAGTATTTTTTTTAACTTTGGGGCATTGCCACCACATATGATAGTATGTTCCGTCTGCGAGCTTACATTTCCAGCCTTGCGGATTCATATTAGGGTATATTTTGGCCAGTCTCGCCGGTGTCCAGTGCCATCTATGACACATCTTGATCGTCTCTTTTGAATGGTGTGTAGTTGTGGTTTACCTCTGTGTGCCTGTTTCCTCCAAGGCAAGGCAAGAAATGATGGATGGGAACTAGCCAAGGAGGTAAGTAACCTGGAATTAAGGAGAAAGTTGTGGGTGCTTCAGCCATGGAGGTTTTTAAGAAGAGATTGGACAGTCACAGGTCTGAAATGGTGTAAGGTCTCCTGCTTGGATGAGGGGGGCAGGGGAGTCGGACTAGATGACCTACAAGGTCCCTTCCAACTCTGTTAAATCTGTATGGATCGATTTGTTTTGAGTGCCAGGATTCTAGGCTTTCTGTAGGGTTTTTGGACTTTTGATCTGGGATATTCAGTTCCCCAGTTGCAACGATGGTTGGCTCTCTCCATGCATTGTGAAATTAGCAAGTTGTCATCATGTCTTCTGACTACTCCTTGGTGTTCATGGAGGCTAGTCTTCGTCCTGTTTGTCCTACGTAGCACTGATGATGTTCCCTAGTTGGGTCATGAAATGTCTGCAACAAAGCAACCAAGCTCATAGAGCATTGAAGACCTCACAGTCCTCCTGCTCCTCCTCTTCCTCCTCTTTGTCTTCTTCCTCTCCTCTTCCTCCTCCTCCTTCGTCTCCTCTTCCTCCTCTTCCTCCTCCTCTTCCTCTTCTCTTCTTCCTCTTCTTTTCTTCCTCCT